AGCTAACAAATTTAATTATGCTCTTCAGTTTTAAGCGCTGTATCACGTTGTAATTAATTAATTTAGCCTATAAGAAAATGAAAGCTCATGTTACTTGCGTTGCTGATAATAACGGGATATTTTCAGCACTAAAGCAGAGCACTACTTGTCAAAATATTTGTGGTTAGTTTCAAGCAATGAATGGGCTATTATCCAATTCTCAGAGCTAAGAATCGTAGACCAATGCTAACCTTTAATCATCTTGTAATTGACACCTGTAAAGAATTAAAGTTTAACCATGATTGTCGTTGTTTGACATCTAAATCATAAGCCATTTGTACACAAATACTAATACTATTTCACTATTTTACATTTAATTTAATTGTTTCAGAAATATTTATAAACAACATTTGTTATAAATACTAATTAAATAACTTCTAAGCTTTCAAATTAATATATTTAGAATGTGTAATCAAACAATCTCGAAACCTTTTTCAATTAATAAAGTTTACTTAAAATGAAAAGTAGAAATTAATAATTACAATTTACGTAACACCATTACCGTAAAATAAGTAACATTTAGGTGACCAACTGTGCATTTGTCGATACATTGAGATCTTAAACTCGATTGAAATGTAAGTGTACGTGTATCAAATTTCTCATTTGTATGACAGACTACGACAAATATATTTTTTTATTTAATGTCGTAAAGTATACATCCAAAGAGAAATTTACTTAATAATATAAAGCCTACTTTAAACCTAAATATTTACAAATTCATATACATTTATAAAATGTTAGAAGCTAAATTAAAATTTTTGTAGATCTCCAAGTATAGCAGGTCCAATACACTTTATTCAAAGGTATGTTGATTCACCTGCAATATAATAAAACAATTTGTTAAATAATTTAGCAATAAATGACAATGCTCTAATATATATTTACATCAGTGTACATCAAGGAAATTTGGGCTCTAAGTTTGGTATTAGATGATTTTGTACCACAAAACAATTAATATTATAGTTTTTAAAGGCGATTTAACTTTTTTTTGGGAAATATTAATTAAGCAGAATCGACGAAAGAGAGAAAGAGACACTGTCGACTCTATCTGTAGTTTTAGAATGGGGGAAATATTAAAATACTTATACAGACATGAATATGTTTTTCCCACACTCTGAGAAAATACTTATAGATTTTGTTTGTTTAGCGACCGCATGTTAAGATAAATTAAAAATGTTTTGTGTGTATGTATTAGAGAGCTGCATGGCCGCACTCATACCCTAGCAAAATAGAGTGCACTCGAATTGAGACTGAGTGAATGAGTGATAGGCATAAAATGTGTTGATAGAGTGAAAGATGGCATGGACTCAAGATCTCATATCTCACTGCCTTTAGTAAAAAGAATGAGAATAAATAAGACCTAAAGAGGAATACAACAGTTAACCAAAGCATTTAGGCGACGAGGCAGCCGAGTTTTTGCATGCATATATCTTCGTGTCAACACTTCGTATTTGCTCGGCTCCGTCGCTTGAGGCTCGAGCAGTGAAAAAATCTCTCGCTTCGAGCATTCAAGCGTAAAGCACGCATTTTAATATGAAGCCTGATTGTGCTCTTATTTTTTCTTACTCTTGTCTCTTTCTATGCCCTTTCCATTCAAAGGATAAATCAAGCTCTTGAAAGGGGATTGCCATGCTCATGCAAAATGTTAGCGTTTTCATGACATTATTTTATGTACAGTCGACTCTCGTTATTTCGAAATTCAAGGGACTCTTAAAAATACTTCGAATTGTCGAGTGTTTAACCATATGAGTACGAATTACCGCGTCTTAGCAATGATTTTTAGTTCGAATTACTGAGTTATAACTTTGAATTAATGAGAGGTTCGAAATAACGCAGGTTTGAAATAACAAGAGTCGACTGTATCTACTAATCCTGACAACTTAAATAAAATAATTATTCTAATGATTCTCTGCAAACTGCGACGCAACTCATATACTCATCGAAGCAATTCATATACTCGTGCTCAAAACCTATTTATTCTTTGTCGATCAATACAATATTGTGCGTCTAAGTCATATACGATCGCACTCACACACTCATACAATTTTCGTTTTGGCCTCGGTGCCAAACATCTCAATATGAGCATTGTTAATTCGAATACGTTTTTTTTTTTTTGGCAATCATGCATATTAATGGCGATTGTGAATGAAGTGAGTCAATTAAGACCATGTGTCTACTTACTGAGTCTCATTTTTGATTTCGCGAATATTACGTTAAAATGTCAAACTGTCGACTGCTATTTGCAAGATATGTTTTATATATCTCGACAAATTGTTGATTGAGTGATCTAGTTTCTAGTTTTAATAATATTAGAGCAACAATATTTTGTACGTATGCTAAGCACAGCTAATTATTAAAATCAAATAACATTAACAATCACTTGTTCTACTGCTTAGAGTAAATATAATGATACAACGTTACAGCACTTAAAATATTTAAGGGAAAAATATTTGTGAGCCGAAAAAAATAAGCTTCAAGTTCAACTTAATGATAAATAAACTCTTATTGCGTATGGTATAAATTAAATTTAAAATTTGATCAGAAGGCGTCTATATACATATATAAAGTATATTCAGTTTGAGACGAAAGTGTTTTCACATGAGAAAAAAAAATTATATTTTTGTTCTTTAAAAAAAAATTAATTATGTATAGATAAATAAATATATATATATATATATATATATATATATATATATATATATATATATATATATATATATATATATATATATATATATATATATATATATATATATATATATATATATATAGTCGACTCTGGAGCCCTACAAAATCTCTTTATATTTCGAATTATATCCATACATTTTTATGCACTCAGTAATAGGACGCGACAATACAAAGTTGCGAAGTTTCTTTCTGAATTTGAATATAGGGACTCCCCTGAAACTACCTTTACTGTGCGTGGTTGCGTGTTACGAATAAAACATAAGCACATTTTAATGCTTACTTTCGTACGAATCGGTTCGATAGTATACAGATTTAAAGTTTTTATTCAAAATGGGTAGGCAAGTTTGACGATTGCTAAAAATAAAAAGGTTATTGAAAAAGTATAAGCAGATGAGAAAAAAAGCGATATTGCAAAAGATTCCACTCAGTACTCTCTTAACTACAATCAACGGATGGATGTAAGATATCAGCAGTTAAGTAATAACCCGCGATAATTCGAAGATTTATTTATTTTCTCTTAAAAATTTCGAGCCATTTAATATTTTAAACATTCGATAATTCGTTATATTTAAAGAGTCCCTCGAATTTCGAAATACCGTGAGTCGACTGTATATACTAAATAAGCAAGTTATAATTTTATCATAAATGAATACAAAATTATATTTAATTTCATTTTAGATATTTTGCTCGAATTATGCTCGAACGTATGACATACGGCATTAAATAAACAAGTAAGAAAGATAAAGCCTTCGAGGAATTGATATTTCCAAATTTCTTTTCTGGTTAAATTAAGATTTTAAAAATACTCATTCACGAAAGTGAATTAGTATATTGGTTTTGTGCAATGTCCGTCTTGCTGACCGTCCGTCTGTCCGTATGAACGCAATCTATTTCGGCGCTATTGAAGCTAGAGACTTGAAATTTGGAACACATACTCGTGTATATCTCCGATTTATAAAGTGTTAAAATTGTCCGATATGCCAGAAATCATGTGAGTTAAGCTGAAATTTTGTATGTAGGTCCTCGTAGACCACCGTAGATAACGAGCTATGGCGAATATATCTCCGCCCATTGGGGGCGTGGCAAATCGGATAAAACTGTATCTCCAAGAGTTTTACAGCTAGAGCGCTGAAATTTTGCACGTCAGTTAATGTAATGATTCTATAGAGTCTAAAGACATAATTATAAGTCTACTCCGAGCGTGGCGTGGCAAACTGGAGCAGGAGATATAGGGATTTTCAAAATTCTGCTGTATTTTGGACACTATTGATACCAGAGACCTCAAATTTTGTATATATACTCGGGCTGATCACATTTTTTGAGGGTAAGCATTAAAATTTTTCAGGTAGGGTACCGTTATCACGCTCTAAGAACTGAAAATGAGATGTCTACGCGCAGTAGGGGCGTGGCAAATCGGAAAAAAACTGTATTTTCTACAGTATTAGAGCGAAACTTAACTACTAAATTGTAGATGGGATGTGAATGAGTATTCTGCAGTCGGTAACGCCCGACTGCAACGTTCTTACTTGTTTTTTATTGTCCTTTATACTAATTTTTTATTAGCAAACTAATGTAAATCCAATGAGAGAACAACAAAATTTCGCACATGAAGCGACATCTTTAAAGGCGCCATGCATAATAGTTTGCAAGACCTAACGGTAGTTTAACTTTCAGCAAAATCAAGCATTATGTATTACAAGAGGCTTCGAAACGAAATTACGAATTATAACATTTTTTCAAGAGACCAGCAGTTTCTTACGAAATATTGAGGTTTTCGATTCAGCGGGGTACGAATTAATGTGGCTGTATTAATAATTAATCGTTTGCTCTCGTAGTCTTGTTCTCCAAATTAAAATGTTAAAAAAATCCCCCATTAGATTGTCATAGAAAGTTTATCGTTTTAAAAAAAAATTGAGTGATTTGAATCGAAAAAATTGATGGAACTATAAATTATAAACTCGTACTGCGTTCTTATGAAGAATATACACACTTTATGGGGGTTGTCACACCTCTTTCTGGTTATTATATACATTCTAACACATATATTTTCGGATTTTCTATTTTCAGTGGGTTGATCAATAGGGCGAATATTAAATTTTAGCCTTACAGTCAGTCAGTCCTGTACGGTAAACTAAAGAACAGATTATCTCTTACTCAGTTGGGACGATTTATTAGACCGCCCGGAAAGCTATACACCATTTCGTAGCCATGATCGGTCAGTGACTTCCCAGAGATAATCTGAAAGACAAAAAAAAAGAAAAAGGCATAGAAAGTTCAGATGAGATGAAGTGGCAACGATGCATTATACTTCGAAGTTAACCCACAAATTTATTATGTTATTAATCAGGTAAAACATATATGAGTAAGACATTAAATGTGACTATCCATTATAAAAATCATTAAACAAGATTTTTTGGATGGTAATCTAGGATGGTATTGATCTTTTTTCAAAAAGCGTAGAACAATATAACTAATTACAGCAGTGACAATATCGCTAGTTATTAGAAAGTTTGACAATCATTAATTTGCTTCAGGTTCCAAACGTATCTAGTCAATTCTTATGTAAGCAGAATTTTCAGAATTGTTGACAATCATAATTTTATCGACTGTATTTTGCGTTTTCTCTTCTATTCTATTCCACTATGAAACAATAACCACGGTGCCATTTTTAATTTATTTTCTATAAGGTATCAAATTTCTTGCAGTCAAAATACAAAATTAATAAATCACATTTATGTCTTTTAAGTATTACTAATACTAAACAAAGCAATATTTTTTCAAATAATATTAAAACAAGCCAACGACAATCCTAATAAGTAAAAACAAAAATATAATGACAAAACACAATCCAAAGGCAATCCAATAATAATCTGCATAATACACAATGAAATTTTAGTATGCGTATCAGCAATCGACACTTTAATTGTAAACCGCTTTCTAAAATGACGATTAAGTGCTTGGAAACGTTTCTATCGCATAGAAATCAGCTTCATAGGCTTATATTAATATTCGACATGACTTAAACAAACTTATTTTCAATGTCATATCTGTGCAATACCATTTTGCCTTTATTTATAGGAACGAAGTATAAAAATATACAATGGCAAGATCCTTTGAGCTTAAAGTTTCACTCCTATCATTTGAATTTAGACTAAAACAATGAATGTGCAATTAACTGTTTTTTTTTTTTTTTTTTTTTTTTTTTTTTAACAATTTATACTGTACAAGCTTGTTGTATTTTACATTTTAAAAATAAATAAATAACATAATGGCAGCCAAAAAGTGTGGAGTGGTGAGTTATCACCTCTTGTCATGGTTGATGTAGATATCACTCCGGATAAATATCTGCAATTAAAAAAAATATATATATATAAAAACTGGGGTTTTTATATAAATTTTTCCCCATGTGTATGTTAAACTCTAAAGAATCAATTTCCATATTATAAAAATATCATTATATTTAAGTAGAAAAGGACTGAAAATAAATAAAATAAAATAAAGTAAAAAATATAATGAATGCGAGTTTTTTATTCATACTTTCAAGCCTTGTCATGTACGAATGCCCGTCCACATTTATAAGTACTTAATACAACAATTATTATTTGTTTTGATTGAAATTGACGGAACTTTTACACAAATATACAAAAGTAGTCAATGTTTCTAGACAATCATGCGAAACAGAAACGCTCAAAACAGTATTAAAATGCGCACTTAAGATTGCTTTATAAAAATCGATAACTACATCAGTGGGAAAGGTTTCTCCTTATGCATATTTTATAAATGCTCAATTTTTCTTTTGAATACCAGACGGATACATAACAAGTAACAAAGATCTAGTCACAATTTTAGTATCCTAATTTAGTATCCTAGTATTCTTCTTAGTCGTATTCTTGATCAGGGCGATGAGCTGAGTCGATTCAGCACTGTCCGTCCTTCTGTGAACTCACAGCACAAAGAATCATCGTGCATAACTATATTTTTTATTAGTAGATTTCGATTAAATTTTTAACTTATATCCTTAAATATTCTACTAAAAATATTTAAATTTAGGAAAAACGCAAATTCAAATTCAAATTAGGGTGACGATATCCGAAATATAATACAAATTTGATAAACACAAACTAAATGCAGAATTGATTCATAGATATTTGAAATTTTTATTTTAAGCACACATTCCTCATGCATCCACACGTACGTATAAGCACGCGCTCTGCTAACTGTGCAGTAAGCAGCGACTGCGCTGCACTGTAGACAATATTATGAGAATTTACTTGTTGAATAATTTCTCTTAATAAAACTTTTAGAACGTGATCATAATGCTCAAATGTATGTATATTCCGAAGCACACGTCTCTAGTACATGAACGTAATTTATTTACAAATTAGGGGCAAAAGGGGCGTGGTATCCAAAATATGTAAATTATTAAATTTGGGTATCCATCAAATGTATATACACACTGAATGTGAAGTCTCCAGGTCTGAAAGTTTACAAATTAGGCTAAAAAACAAAATCTAAAAATCGATTATTCTCGATAAAAAGATACCATTATACCCTGATTTTCCATTTTCGAATTTCCCTTAGTAAAATTGGAGACTTACATATGTAGACTTTCAAAAATAACATTAATTCGGAAGCAACATAACATAGAATTAAGAACCAACATCCACTTATAATTGTCTTTTAAATATATAAGTATGTACACTCCCCGAAATTCAATTAAAGGCACTCAGTTTTCTTGGTTTTTTTTTTAGTATTATGCATGATGGAATAGTTGTATTTTTCTTATCACACATTTCTTTTAGTTATATGGCATACACAACAATATTTTTATATATTTTATAAACAAAAAAATTTTAATGCAAGAAAACAAAAATTTTCAAAAAATAAGCGTGAATCTCAATTAAAGGCAGATTTATGAATTACTTCATAAACCCGATTTGGCATCGAATTAATAGTTTTTATTAAACGCGGCTTGTGGTATTTGAGTCCATTCCTGAGAATCCGTTTTTCTAAGATCTTCCACCGATTGATTTTCTTCTGCCTGGCAAGGTCCCCCCACATGTTTTCTATAGGATTTAAGTCAGGATATCGAGCAGGGCATGACATTGAGGTGATTTTCAGCTCCTGAAATCTGGTTCGACTAGACTATGAAACATGTATGGCCGCATTATGCTGTTGGAAAATTGAAATCCTGGACGGTTCTTCATCCAAAAAGTCCACAAGTATGTTCTCCAATAAATGTATACAGCCTTGAGAATTCAAACGCCAGGATACTATTCATATTGAAGTTCGATAGCGGTAGCTAAGCGCAGCCCATACCATTAATGATCCGCCAGCAAAGTTTCGATATGTGGAGTATCGCTTAGGCTGCCGAATGTCATGCCAGTAATAATTAAAACCATCAGGGCTATCTCAATTGAATTTTTTCGCATCTGAGAAAATATTTTTTTTTTCAGTTTTCCGACCAGGACATGTGTTGCTTCACAAAATCTACCCAAGTCGCTTTGTGGCCGTTAGATAAAGCCGGTTTTGACTTCAGTTTCATCCATTTTGGCCGGTTGCTAGTCGCCAAAATTTACTGAACACGGCGTTCTGTTATCGAATGGTCGAATTCTAAAACCCTGTATCCAACCTTGCATGCAAGGACTTTTACCATATTTTCGTTTGTCAGCATCTCTCCTTTTCCCATTTCAATATAAATTGATAAACACCTACTAAAACCCAACAAAATGTTTCAAAATAGTATATTTAATAAATTTTATAGCAAAACCACAGTTCAAATGCTTTACTGACCTCTTCCCAAGACCCAAGACCGAATGACTAATTGAATTTCGCGCTTTTTTTTTTTATTTTTTTGTTTTTCTTACATTAAAATTGTTGTTGTTTACAAAATATATAAAAATACAATATTCATCACATATGTAACTAATAGAAATATGCGATACGAAAAAAGAACTATTCCATCATTGTATGTAATATTTTAAATACTTTTTTGGAAATTATTTAATAGATACGTTTTGCTGGAGTTTTATTTAAATAGTCTAATAATATTCAATATTTTAGAGGTAACAGTGTATACGAGTCTAAAAAAAATATATATCTTTGAAAAAAAAAAAAAAAAACAAATCATTCTCAATAATTTGAACTTCTGTGTAAATCGAAAAATAAAACACTGATCCTCTTGCCATTTTAAATTAACAGGACTTGCCTGTTTAAAGAATAGTCTTGTTACATTTTTATTGCAATTATATTCCTATTTTCTTAGTAAAAATTTAAGAAGAAACCTGAACTACTTTGAAGTATGTATTAAATTACATACGCTATATATTTTACTATCTGTAAATAACAAACGGAAAACTGAGCAATATAAATATATACAAGTCTTTCCAGCGTCATCGATTTTTACTATTTCTATCATCTACAATAATTTCATTAAATATATAAAATATATTTATTAATATATATTAAGAATACTCAATTTCAAAAATTTTGAGGACTTATTTAGAAACAATTAATTAAGGTGAGATACGTCTGGTCTATTAAAAAAAAATATCTCACTTTACCGATCAAAGGTGAAATAGACTCACCACATATACTGATGAATCTGACGTTTCAGTTCTTACAGTAGAACACTTTGGTATATGACTCCTTACGTAGTGCCGGACGTAGCTACCTCCATAGCTATGAAAATTAAGATCCTGTAAATATATTTTTTAATACATAACAACGTATTCTAATTTAAAATCGATGATTCAATCGCATAACTTACAATAGTGATATTAAGTCCACAATTTTGGCTGCTACATAACCTAAGCTTTTAAATGAGACGTTCTGTTCTTTGGATTATTTTTAATTTATTTCATAGCATTTAAAGTGCGGTGGACGATGAAATCGCATGATTTGGTGACACGTCGTATGGCTGTAGAATTATATAATATTCGAAACCATTCAAGGCCTCGGGGTTCTCAAGAATGCTTAACATATTTTTGATTGAATTCGCGAGTGGGTTTAATAAAACTGTGAAGGTATACCATTTGTCGCCATATATTAAACAACCTTTAATGTTATTAATACTCGCGGAGTTTTATATTAAATATAATTTTTTCTTAAGCATTTACTAATACTTTAATCACTTTCATTTACTTTTTATGTAAGAATATTATGTGTTCGAAGCCCATTGTGTACTATTGGCTCGTAAAAACCTTATTTTAATCACTCTGGAGACTTAATATAACATCTTTTCGTATCTACTATGGTATTTCGAGTTTTTTCTTCTATATACACTGGAAAATCCATATCAAAATGATTTTATGCATATCATTTTTCAAAGCTTCTTTAAAATCCATATTTGAAAAATAATTATTTATTTATTTATTTATTTACTTAAAAGATATTGATAAAGCTAGTGTCAAATAAAATTAAATAGCCTACAAAAAGTACAACAAATAATGACAATAGTATCACCAACCCGATGGAGGTATCTGCCGGTCCGGCTAGCTATGCCCCACTTCACAGCTAAATATGGTCAGTGATACTATTGAGACTATAAAAAGAAAGTATTAAAAAGAAAACTTAAAATAATTATTAAGAGAGCTTAAATATAATTAATATACAACAAGTAAGAACGTTGTAGTCGGGTGTTACCGACTGCGGAATACTCATTCACATCCCATCAGAAATTTAGCAGCTAAGCTTAGCTCTAATACTGTAGAAAATGCGTTTTTCCCGATTTGCCACGCCCCAACTGGGCATAGACAACTCATTTTTGGTCAGTTTTTAGAACAAGCTAACGGTACCCTAACTGCAAAACTTGAATGTTTACGCTCCAAAAATGTGAAAATTACACGGTACTTCTCGATATGCCACGGCCCTAAAAGGGCGTAAAAATTATTTTTGGATTATTGATAGAGGAGGTTACTATCCAAATTTGAAGCTTCTAGTTATTATACTTTAGGAGATATAAACTTTTCGGTTTGACACGCCCCCTTTGGGCGGACATATATCCGTCAAAGCTTTTTAGACTTGGGTGGTCAGCCCCAAATTTGAGGTCATTAATAGTGTCCAAAATATAGCAGAATAAAAAAGTCACTATACCTTCAGGTCCGATTTGCCACGTGCCTAATGGGAATGGACACATAATTTCTTTAATATTTATAGAATCATAACATTAGCCTACTTACGAATTTTCAGCGTTCTAGCTTTAAAACTCTAGGAGATGCAGTTTTATCCTATTTGCCACGCCCCCAATGGGCGTAGATGTATACGCCAAAGCTCGTAATCTTGGGTGGTCGATGCGAATCTACATTCAAAATTTCAGCTTTCTAGCTCTTCAACTAATATAATTTCTGGTATATCGGAAAATGCATTTTCCGAATTGCCACACCCCTAGTGGGCGGTTCGTGAAAGTTTTAACACTTTATAAATAGGAGATATACACGAGTATGTGTTCCAAATTTCCGAAATAAACTGCGTTCATACGGACAGTCGGACAGACGGACAGATGGGCGGACAGCAAGACGGACATTGCACAAAACCAATATACTAATTCACTTTCGTGAATGAGTATAAAAAAATTAGTAAAGCAAATGGAAAGTACTACAAGTTATTGCAAGAATAGTGAAAAGAATAAAGACTACGAAAAAAAAAGAGTAAAAGAAGAGCAACAAGTAATGAGGCTCCAGTCGAGACTGCTCGACTAGGAGATACCCTAAACCCTCCAAGCTGATATTCTAATCATTCTGCACTCCTTTTATGCACACATACATACACATACACTTATAAGCACGCGTTCTGCTAACTGCGCAGTAAGCAGCGGCTGCGCTTGGGCTGCGCTACAGTGTGAGTAATATTTTGAGAATTTATTTGTTAAATAATTTCTTTTGTAGACATACAATCTAAATGAAACTTTCAGAGCGTAATCATATGGTTAAAATGTGTGTACATTCCAAAGCACAAGTCTCTAGTACAAATTGAGATCCTTTTGCTCATACGGACAAACGGACAGGGCTATATCGACTCAGCTCGTCGTCCTGATCAAGAATATATATACTTTATGGGGTCTGCGATGATTCCCTCTGCCTGTTACATACTTTTCACAAAACCATTATACCCTGATTTCCCATTTTCAATGGGTTTAGGGTATAAAAATAGAATATAGGATAGGATTGAGAATTCACTACACAACATTGGCAACGAAATGAGTACCAGTGCTTATGCCTGGGCACTGCAAGTGATTTCCCTAAGGTAAGCTAAGATTTTATTTTAGGAAAAGAGAGCTCAAAGGAAAATACGTGATATTTGTTAAAATTAACATAAAGAACATGAAACGCACTATGCAAAGAATAATCCGTAGTGCACAGAGATGAATTAAGCGGACGATAGTGTCTAGTCGTTGGGGACAGAACCGAAAAATTGAGACGCCTCAACAAAGAGAACGAATCAATATCAACGCTAATGAATTTATGCAGAAAAACAATTCCTAAAATTGTTCTGCTGATTAACGATGGAAGATTAATTAGCTGAAGCTTACTATGGTAAGACGGTAATGATGTAGTTTATGCTGCGGGGACCATACAACTGAGCAATACTCTAAGATAGGACGCACCAGCGAAATAAATAATTGCTTTGTAATAAAAGGATCTTTTAATTCTTTAGACCAACGTTTAATAAATCCAAGCACACTTTTGGCTTCATTAATGATGGTAGAAATATGAAGATTAAAATTAGTTTACAGTCAAAGAAATCACCAAGATCTTTGACGGTAAAGATGCGTCATAAGGAAATTTTTAGACTCATTCACGAAAGTGAAATGAGTATATTGGTTTTGTGCAATGTCCGTCTTGCTATCCGTCCGTCTATGCGTATGAACGCAATCTATTTCGGCGCTATTGAAGCTAGAGACTTGAAATTTGGAACACATACTCGTGTATATCCGATTTAAAAAGTGTTAAAATTTTCCCGATCCGCCCACTAGGGGCGTTGCAAATCGGAAAATGCATTTTCCGATATACCAGAAATCATGTTTGTTGAAGAGCTAGAAAGCTGAAATTTGGTACGTAGGTCCGCGTCAACCACTCAAGATCATGAGCTATGGCGGATATATCTTTGCCCATTGGGGGCGTGGCAAATCGAACAAAACTGTATCTCTTAAAGTTATAAACCTAAAATTCTGCACGTAAGCTGATGTTTTAATTCTATAAAGATGGGTGAAAAAATTATATATCCACGCCTACTAGGGGCGTGGCTAATTGGACCTGAATGTATAGTGATTTTTCGAATTCGGCTATATTTTGGACACTATTGATTCTCGAGACCAGAAACGAGCTATGGTAGATATATGTCCGCCCATAGGGGGCGTGGCAAGCCGCAAAAGTTTATATCTCCTACAGTTTAAGAGCTAGAAGCTTCAAATGGATAGTTGAGTTACTGGTAGCCTCCTCTATCGATGCCCCAAAAATAATTTTTAAGCCTCTTTAATGGAGTGGCATATCGAAAAATACCCTGTAATTTTCACATTTTTTGAGCGTAAGAATTCAAATTTTGCATTTAGGTTACCGGTTGCTCGTTCTAAGAACTGGCCAAAAATGAGGAGTCTACGGCCACTAGGGGCGCGGCAATAGGCATTTATAGTGACCATATTGCGGCATTTATATGCGTCAGCCATCTATTTATGTATTTGTACATATAAATAGGCTTAATAGGCATTAATAGCACGGAAGGAAACATTTTTAAAAAATTAATAATATATAAAAAAGCTAAAATAACAAAAATTTGCAATTTACAAAAACGAGTTTTCCGCGGGATTTAAACTCGCACCCAAGCCGAATAGCATGTTCATGTCAAAATATCTAAAATAAAGATCGCCGGCGCTTCCGCCTACAGCACCACCGCGTCGTTTCGAGCAACAGTAGTTAAAACGAAATCACATTATTGTTATGACGCCTTATAGCAAAGAAAAGCCAGTGTAGCGGCTGGAAATTCAAAAACAATGCAAAGACAAATCAATCGCAGCGGGATTCTTTGAATATGCTACAGTACACATTTATGTGTACATACATACACACAGCGCGTGTATAAGGCTGGAATGCTTGATGCTATGCGTGCAGACTTACATATATACATATGCATGTATTTGCGTACATGTATTTGAGGGCTATTTAAGAAGAAACAAATTTAAACTTATAAAATTATTCGACTAAGAAAAAGAAGAGTATTAAGTGCCATTCATTCAAGCTCGCACCTTCCCAATAAAATATCTATTTTATAAAAAACAAAATATGTATGAAAAACCAAGTAAGAAAGCTCTAGTCGAGACTGCTCGACTACGAGATCCCCTGAACCCTTGGACCAATAGCTATTTCAATAATTTTTCGCGTCTTTCAGCTTACACAAGAAACACACACACACACGCACACACAGGCATACATACACACACACACATATACATACACAAAAATTTACATACACAAACACATACACACACAAGCATAAACACGCATGGGCTGCAGTGTGCGCTTACTATGAAAACTTAATTGTTTAATAACTTTTTTTGTGGACATACGATCTTCATGACACTTTTAGATTATGATTATAATATGGATATGCATGTTTGCCAAAGCACAAGTCTCTAGTATTTGAAATACGCCTTTTACAAAAGTGATGGTGATGGGGTGGACATAGAGGTGGGGGGTAAATTTTAGCAAAAACCGAAATTGCTTAAATTGCATATAAGCATTAAAAATTTGGAGACTCTAGCAATAAAGGTGTAGAAGATATAATTTTATAACTGGTTTTTAAAAGGTTTTTTTATCTATAAAAAATATCGGGATGATTTATCGATTTTTAATGATAAACTCGATATCCGCGCTGTAAATACGGACATTTAAAAACAAGTAAGAAAGCTCTAGTCGAGACTGCTCGACTACGAGATCCCCTGAACCCTTGGAGCAATAGATATTTCAATAATTTTTCGCAACTTTCAGCTTACACAAGTAATACGCACACACACACACACACGCACGTACGCACACACAGGCATATATACACACACACGCATACAGACACACTTACACACACACACGCATACATACACAAACGCATACACACACACACATACACACACACACACACACACAAACAACCACGCATAAACACGCATGGGCTGCAGTGTGCGCTTACTATGAGAAGTTAATTGTTTAATAACTTTTTTTATGGACGTACGATCTTCATGAAACTTTCAGAATATGATTATAACATGAATATGCATGTAATTGCCAAAGCACAAGTCTCTAGTATTTGAAATACGCTTTTTACAAAAGTGAGGGTGAGGGGGTGAATTTAGAGGTGGGGGGTAAATTTTAACAAAAACCGAAATTGTATAAATTGCATATAAACATACATTAAAAATTTTGAGACTCTAGCAATAAAGGTGTAGAAGATATAATTTTATAACTGGGTTTCGATAAGGTTTTTTATCGATAAAAAAAGATCGAGATGAGTTATCGATTTTTAATGATAAACTTGATATGCGCGCTGTAATTACGGACATTTTAAAAAAAGTTTGAAGTCTCTAGCTCTTATATCTTCTGAAATCGACGCGTTCATACATACGGACAGACGGACAGACGGACAGACGGACGGACGGACAGACGGACAGACGGACAGACAGACGGACAGGGCCAAATCAACTCAGCTCGTCGCCCTGATCAAGAATATATATACTTTGTGGGGTCTGCCACGCCTCCTTCTCCCTGTTACATACATTTCAACAAAACCATTATACCCTGATTTCCCATTGAAAATGGGTTCAAACATACGGACAGACGGACGGACGGACGGACAGGGCCAAATCGACTCAGCTCGTCGCCCTGATCAAGAATATATATACTTTGTGGGGTCTGCCACGCCTCCTTCTGCCTGTTACATACATTTCAACAAAACCATTATACCCTGAATTCCCATTGAAATTGGGTTCAGGGTATAAAAAAATAAAAATAACATCAAATAGGTTTCGAACCTCCCCTACTCTAACATAATTTGCGTCGCCCTTAGCACCCGCGCCACTGCTTTGCTTGACCAGCCAGTCGCTAAAATAGAATAGCTTAATAAGAGAGCGTCATCAGACAGTAACGGCTAGAAAGTCCAGAAATCAATCGAAATTCTAAGAATGTGAGAAAAGGCGCGCTTCTGTCTGTACGCATCGAATGGACGATGAGTGTGTACACATGTATACGAAAATCGCGCTGATCCGCCGCTAGCTTGAAGCCGGTATCCAATATATGGATATAAATATATAATAATAAAAATCAAAATTGTATAAATTATATATGTATGTAATTTGAATGCAATGATGCAATGATCATAACAATAGCTATCGATGATTTTCCAATTTTAATGGGATCATGCCCTGTTTTTTGTTGCGCACTAGACTTGAAAATTGCACTATATACTCTGGTTGACAGCGTTTGGGCTGTGAATGAGTCTTCTGCAATCAGTATCGCCCGACTACAACGTTCTTACTTGTTTAGTCAAAAATTAGTGGAACGGTACCACTGAAGGTCATTGTCTTACACTTTGAGCAATTTAGGTCCTACTGGTTTGCCACACACCAAAGTTGAAACGCATTAAGGCCATCTGGAAGGTGTAGATGCCCATTTGCACTGGAGTATGGAAGGCAAAGTTTTACATCATCCGCATACAGAAATATAGTAGAATAAGAGATACAGCTAGGAAGGTCGTTTAGAAAAAGGGAAAAGAGGTACACCAGACGAAACAAAGATAAGTTTAGAAATAGCTGTTCTCAGCAAGACTCTTTGGGTTCTACCCTTTAAATAGGATGAAATCCAAGTCTAGGTGAAAATCCTAAGCGTTCAAGCTTTAGAATAAGTATCTGATGATATACTGAGTCAAATGCCTTACTAAAGTCAGTATAAATAACATCAGTTTGCATTTTTTTTTAGAAAAGTTGTCATTGACAAGAGAAGTAAATTCTAGTAAATTAGAGGACGTTGATCGATTTTGAACAAACCCATGTTGAGATGGTTGAATAATCGATTTGCAAAAAAGATTCAACGACCTAATGGCTGCAGCCAGAGAAGCTGCAGTGACCTTAGGAGAATTAATAGACCCATATTCAGGACGTGAATATGGATATGAGTTGCTGTAGAGATTAGCAAAGGAATAAGTGGATAGAAAAAATCTGCAAATAGATCAGAGGAATCCTGGTCATTGCAAGTTTTTTCACCATCAAGTACAAATGAGGACGGCAAACCAAAAAATTTACTATTCAAGTTTACAAATGAGTAAAATTGTTTAGGATCTCGAGCAAACTGATGTTTGCAACGTATAAGATAATTATCATAAAAACGTGAATTTAAAAGATTGAAATTTGACTTGGCTATGTAATCTTTAGGTCAGTCAACACTTAAACCAGACTTTTTATAATTTTTAAAACATTTAGTTTTAATGTTTCTTAAGTTCGAAAGATTCTTAAGCTTATTTGAAACAGGCGAAATACAACAGAGAGGGACACAAACATCCAGAATAGAGTTTAAGGTAGTATACAAAAACCATGCTGCCAAATTAATATCAATCGACTTATATAAAATATACTAGTCTGATGAATTAATTAATTTGTTAAGCTAAACAAAACTGCATTTACAATAACAGCGACTTAGTTTAGAAGGCAAAGGGGTATAAGTGAGATGATTATCAAAACCTCTAGGGTGGGGTGATGTATATCTTCTGGTAAGCAGAAAAGGGGCTGATCTCACGACATTAGTGAGCGATTTATGATTAATGAACACAAGATATAATGTTAAACATAGAAGGGTTAAACAATTCATCAAAAAGATAGTGAACAATTGTCGGAATAAAGTAATTTGAATTTAAAGTTGATGACCAAGAAGTGTTAGGAATATTAAAATCACCCAACACAAGAAGCAAGTCTCTATCATTTACATGCTCATAAATTTCTTTAATACAAGTAGGTTGAGCATAAACTTGTACATCAGAAGATCTTCAATAAACCCTTTAGAATGATAAGAATGTTGAATATTCAACACTATTGCTAGAATTCTGAAGTTAATAGCTTGTCTCCAATAACTGTGTTTTTAATTATGTTCCTTTGTAAGACTAGTACAAATCAAAGAGAGGCTTTTGTAAACGCCGACAGTAAAATGACTTCATAACTACCGAGTCTCCCACATGGGCTACAAATGAAGGCCGTCACAAACTACCCGAATACTTAAAATACTTTCTACAAAGTCACAATAGTTTTATAATTATATTTTAGCACTTAATTCTTTAAATTCGACTTATAGATGGCTACGTAGCAACACGCAAGCATGACGCTTCTCGTAAATTGTTTGCGAAGACTATACTCAATATCCATCTAAAGCCTGCTCCGACTGAAGTTAGAGATATTAGATTTGGAATATATCTTCGCATGGAGTACAGTTTTATGATTTTCCCAATGCCTATCAGGAGGCAGAAAATTAGATGAAAAATATATAATATATATAATTACATACATATAAAGCGTAAGTGTAAAATCGAAAAGAAAATGTATCTTTTATATTTAACAAATTAAATACTATGGACCTCTTCTATTAATTACCAAAAACTATATACAGTGAACCCTCGGTTAACAAACATTTCGCAATAGCGAAAATATTTTTTTTTTTTTTTTGGAAAGTAAGTAAGTAAATTTTCGCATAACGACCACCAAAATATTTTAAAATTTGTGTCTATGTCAAACAACGCACTGTGGTTCCGCCTAAGGCCAAAAAGAACAAGTAAGAAGGCTCCAGTCGAGACTGCTCGACTAGGAGATACCCTGAACCCTCCAAGCTGATATTCTAATCGTTCTGGACTTCTTTTATGCACACATACATACACATGCACTAATAAGCACGCGCTCTGCTAACTGCGCAGTAAGCAGCGGCTGCGCTTGGGCTGCACTGCAATGTGGGCAATATTATGAGAATTTATTTGTTGAATAATTTCTTTTGTAGACACACGACCTTAATGAAACTTTCAGAGCGTAATCATATGGTTAAATTGTGTGTACATTCCAAAGCACAAGTCTCTAGTACTTGAAATGCGTTTTTTACAAATTCGGGGCGATGGGGGCGTGGTATCCAAAATCTGTAAATTACAAAATCTTTGTGTCACTCTTGTGTAACTCTATATTAGACGTCTGCATGATTACACTCATAACAAAGCCACATTGAGTACATTCGAAATGAGTGGAATATGATTGAGTGAAAAGGACAGAATGAGACGAATGTGTATACTACTTTTTCGCAAGACGAACATGTTGTGTCTCATGCCGAATGACTGAGTATAACGAAAGAAGAGGAAAGTGAAAGGAAAACTTCGAAAACACTCAAACTACTCAAGTAGTTCGAAGAATATTTTGTATATTCATTTTTTGCTTTGAGAAATTGTGAGCAGACGTGCGAAATGGAAGCGGAACCTGCAGGAAAAAATGTATGTATTTTTCGGCAAATACCAGCGTGTTGTTTTTGTGTTTTGTTTAAAGCTTGTGTTTTAGTTTTACTAACAAAATGTGTAGTTGTGACCGTCTATATATGTTTCCTGTGTTGATATTTGCAGATTTAATATTTATTTGGTTTCAATATATAAAATTTAGGAGAGTACGTTGCTTAAAAGCGACGAAATAAAAAAAATGCTACAAAGTGGAGTGTACAGCTTAACAGATAAAAGCGGACGAAGCGAAGTGTGGCGATATTTTGCCAAAATAAAAAACGAATGTGGAATCGAGTTCGATGGCCTTTTTTCTTGCAAAATGTGTTTCTCGGTTTTGAAGTTTTCAGGTAGCACATCAAATTTGGTGAAGCACAAATGCTACAATGTGATCTGTAAAACAGAGAAAACTTTACTAATCGAAACAAATTCTGCAACAAAGCATGAAGCTGTTAATGTTGTTACCGAATGGGTAATAAAAAATTGTCGCCCGTTTAAAATTGTCGAAGATTCCGGACTCAAAAACTTTGCATCATTTTTGATTAAAGTAGGAGCAATTTTTGGTAGTAATGTCGACGTCGAGAAATTGCTACCGCATCCAACAACTATATCAAGAAACATAGGTGCAATATACGACACACACTTTGGCCCGATTCAAGATGAAATTAAAAAATGTAAGAGTTTCGGATACGCCATTACCAGTGACATATGGACAGACAATTTTTTAAAATCATCTTACTTGTCATGTACCATACACTACATTAAGGATGGAGCTCTTGTTGACCGATTATTAGCCATGAAGTCGATGAAGGAAGTCTCCTGCACAGGTATGTATCAATATTTAATCTATTTGTAAAAGTTTTAAATTTATTATTCTTTGTTTAGGTGCAAATGTACATGCAAAAATCGCCGACGTTTTAAGAGATTTTGGATGTGACCTCGAAAATGACAATCCAGTTATTGTTACTGATCGTGGGTCAAACATGATTAAAGCCTTCTGCAACTTAGAAAAAATTAATTGTGTCAATCATTTATTGAACAACGCCGTCGAGAAATCAATTGAGTCTGTTCCTGAGCTTACAAATATTGTATCACATTCTACAAAGCTGGTGAAGTATTTTAAAAAGTCAGGAGCTAATTCTTCTTTGGGTCTCTCGTTAAAAAGCTTTTGCCCAACACGATGGAACACAGTATACTATTTGCTTAAGTCGGTAGATAGTAATTGGACGCAAATAATTTCAATTTTGAAAGAAAAAGGACAAGAATATAGAATAGAAGGAATCAATAAAAATAATTTAGCTGCCATAGTCTGTCTCTTAGAAGCATTTGAAAACGTTTCCAAAAAACTAGAAGCAGTTAAACGCCCGACTATTCATTTGGTTCTACCAAATATATATAATTTAAAAAAAAATGTCAGTCCGAGTACAGTGATGTTCAACTAATTGAATCAATGAAGTTTTCACTACGATCTCAAATTGTGGATACAATTACTCCAAATTTATCAAAATATCACAGCATTGCATTGTTTTTGTTTCCACCAACAAATAAGCTAAAACAATTTTCGCAAAATGAAAAGGAAACAACAATAAATGACTGTAAAACTATTATGAAGCATTTTTTAGTAGACTCAAATTGTGAAACTTTTGAAACTCAAACAGCTAGCGATGAATTTGATGAGTTCATAGAAGCTGCCCAGGTTGACTCCAATAAAGATCAGATTTAAATGGAAATAGCAGGCTATACAAATATAAATGTTCCATACTCAACCAATTTTGACGTTTTGGCATGGTGGAAAATGCACAAACATTTTTTCCCAATACTGCATAAAACAAGCTGCCAAATATTTTGTATTCCAGCCAGCAGCGCAGCTTCTGAGAGAACGTTTTCAATTGCAAGAAATTTAATTACTGAAAAGCGATGTTCAATAGCTTCCAATAGCTGATAGAATTAATAAAATTATGTTTTTAAATTCGAATATTATTAATTAATTTTTTGAAATAAATATATAAGTTAAAAATTCCACAACAAAAAATACATTGCACACATATTTCTTTATTTTTCCCTCTTTCTTTTAACAGATACACACAGCAAAAAACAGCTGACAATACTCAAATGTATTCAATATACAACATTTAATAGCTTCTACTGCTCACTCACTCACTTCGTTTCTTTTCGGCAATATTTTTGTGCAGCCGAGAGAAACACGACTTCAGTCGCTCACTCATTCTCATTTCGTTTTTTTCAAGTTTTCACTCAATTCAATGATGACTTTGTACAGTTGAATGTGCTTTTTTTGCCATTCATGCAGACGTCTACTCTATACCCATTTTCAATGGGTTCAGGGTATAAAAAGTTAATAACAAAGTATACAAAAACAAATAAGAAAGCTCTAGTCGAGACTGCTCGTCTAGAAGATCAACTGAGCCCTTCGAGCAATTGAGATTTCAATGATTATTCGCACATGCACACCCTCACGCACACACACAGGCTTACGCACGCACGCATAAATGCGCATTGGCTGCAGTGTGAGCTTACTTTGGGAACTAATTGTTTAATAACTTTTCTTGTGGGTAGACTATATTCATCAGATTATGATTATAACATGGATATGCATGTATTTGCCAAAGCACAAGTCTTTAGTATTTGAAATACGCCTTTTACAAATGTGAGGGTGACGTGGTGGATATCCACTCCTATATGGAGTAGGGGGTAAATTTTGACAAAAACCGAAATTCTATATAGTATATATAATATAAATCTATAATATATACTATATAGAATCTAGCTTTCAAGATGTAGAAGATATAAATTTATATATTTTTATTACTGGTTTTCGATGATTTTAATCGGCAATGGTTATTGATATATAGAGTAAAAATTGCGTGGTACACACGGACCTAAGAAAAAAATTTCTAATCTCTAACTCTTATATTTTCTGAGATCGACGCGTTCAAGCATACGGACAGACAGTGTCCGCCTGGCTAAATCGACTCAGGTCGTCGTCATGATCAAGAATATATATACCTTGAAAGTCTGTCACGCCTCCTTCTGCCTGTTACATACTAGAGCTGGGAAATCCATCGAGGACTCAATCGATAGTATCGATGGGCCTCGGGAAGTACGATAGATCGATGGAAATTTTTCGATCTCGATTTATCGAAGTTGTTGTGAGCGTGGTGGAGTGTACAATAATAATAAATTGCAATCTTTTTGTTATTAATTGTAATATTTTAGCTTTCAACAGATTAAAATGTTAGGTACATAATACACAATAGCAATGAAAATGTAATTGTAAGCCCTTATGAATGTTAAAATAATATTTATGTATACCAGCAAGTTCTACCGAATCGGAAAGAACATTTAGAAAAACAGGATCGATTGCTTCGGACCGAAGGTCGAGTTTAAAGTCAACTATAGTCAAGACCTTGAACAAAAACCAATGGCTTATTAATCAATTGACTTATATTTGACTTATTCTGTCAGTGTCCATCAGGTTAAGTTATCAAAATGAAGTTATTGTTTTTGTTTTCTTACACAATAAGTGATTCTTGTTGACATCGAAATGAAGTTATTTTCATTTACGCACAAGTGTTTCTCCTAACTATAGATATGATGTTGAAGTTATATCTTTTTTTTTTCTTTATTTTGGTTTGCACGAAAATCTTTGTTTCCTTTGAAAAGTTTCAAAATTCCTTTAAAACATTATAAATAATTTTGAATTTTGTTCGCGAGGCTTAAATAATTTTAAAAGAATGTTTAAAACCTTAAAATAGTTTTTAAAAAAAGCCATTTAAATTGCCGATGGAAACATCGATAATATCGATTATGCTCTCCATCGATGGATAGAGACTGAACTATCGATAGTATCGATGGTTTTTCTCATCGCTGCAATATCCATTGAGTGTTGCCACCATCGATGGATGCCCAGCTCTATGTATGTAAATACATAGCTGTACAAACATGCAGATGTGTGTATAAAATCAGTGTGGAAAAATTCAATTAATATCCTTTAGATACTGCCAAAGAGTTAATCAAGGAGTATCCCTGTTTGCGGGCGACAGTGCATAAGGTGCTCATTTACGGATCTGTTGTTATAGAGCAAAATGTCACGAATACAAATGTCAACAAATACGGACATATTAAATTACCTTCTTTTACGCTCCGACCCATGCATTACAGGGCAGAGAAATATTGAAAAAAAAAAAAAAAGACTATTCAAAATTATTAGATTTACAGGAGGAGGAGACAGTACAATTTTGTAATTTTGAGATCGCAAACCTTGTAAATATTTTTCAATATTAAAATAGCACTTTCTAAACAGACAGAACTCTGTATATGAACTTGATTAAATTTAGATCTATCGACATTTAACTATCGTTCATAGCATCACAAAAGATGTATTACTGAAATTTTTAATGGTGTGTTTCACTTCAAAAGTTGTTCCCGTAGAGTAATGGAAGAAGACCATTAAAGAATGGACAGTATCACACGAAAAATTAGTAGGCTTACGGTAACAAAAAGCGCTTGTAGATCACTAAACCATATTTTTAATATGGAATCGAAATTTGTATTTTTGTTATGGAAGTACAGATAAAAAATTTTATAGGTACACAAAAAAAGTGTATTTTGGGGTACTCACCGGATTCCCAATCCTCGTCTCCTTCTTCACCACTTTGATTTGAATCAGAAGATGATCGTTTGTAAGTATTGTGTGAATTCTGTTCTCCGCCAGAAATATTGGAAATATTACATCGATCAAATATATGTAGACCCTCTGAGGCTTTTCCATAGATGTTACTGGGCCAATTATTAGGCACCATTTCGATTTGTTTACGGGACGGTTGATTAAAAATATGCTGTTTTTTGTTGTCCTTGCCTGACGAGGTATTATTAGCACCTAGTAGGCATTTTGAAGAGGATTGTTTGCGTTTAGATGCCATTGCAGGATATTTTGAGATAGTTGATTTTTTATGTTGATTTTTAGTCTAACAAAAATAAATTCTTAGGTCCCATGGTTTTTTGTGTCTAAAACATTATACTTACTAGTTTTCTGCTCTGTGCTGTTAGGTGAGATTGCCCCTCACTTCTTTCATCACTGGTATGAAATGGACCTTCAAACAAACGACTTGAGGACGGAGAGTTTAAAACTGAACCCTCACTGCTTAGATTCGTATTATTATCACCAGGAAGATTTTCTGAGCTTTGATTATTGCTCCTACTGTTATCTATTGAGGATTCAGCGATTATACTGTCAGAGCGTTTTTCTTCATTTATAAATACGAGAGAGATCTAAAATTAAATTTTAATATATTACAAATATAAGTTCAGATATTCAATTTTATGATCATATGATAATAATGTTTTCAAAATATACAACAGGAAAAATGATTAATTAATATGCTATAATATATAACACTAAGCAGGCCATAATCTATTTACTGAATAGTTCTCGATTCCTGGAAGAAATCTGGATCTGATCGCACAAAAAACTTCAAGTCGGTAGCTCTTATATCATCTGAGATCGACGCGTTCATACATTCGCACTGGGGAACAGACAGACAAACTGACAGGGCTAAATCGGCTCCGGTTATCAACCCCTTAAGGCCTCCTTCTATCTCTTATATACATTTAACAAAACCTTTACAACCAGATTTTCTATTTTTAGTGGGTTCAGGTTATAAAAAAGTATCAGTACAATAAATATTGGGTCGTTCGTTCACTAACCAATTTCGTTTAATAAGAACATCATTGAATTTCGACAGCTGAAGAAAGAAATATAAAATGAGTACAACTTCGATAGTCGTCATTCCCAATCTGACTCTGTTGTTGGTACCAATTCCTCTTAATGATGCGGATATTATGATATACACGGACCTAGGGAAAAAATTTCAGTTCTCTAGCTTTTATATCTTCTGAGATCGACGCGTTCATACATACAGACGGACGGACGGACGGACAGACAGACGGACAGGGCCAAATCGACTCAGCTCGTCGCCCTGATCAAGAATATATATACTTTGTGGGGTCTGCCACGCCTCCTTCTGCCTGTTACATACTTTTAACAAAACCATTATTCCCTGATTTCCCATTTATATATAAAAATAATAAAATATTTGGCCAATTAACAAACGCACGTGCAGCAGCTATAACAGTTTCGTATACGTGTGCACAGATGCATTCAAACTTCTTCTAGAACATTCTTAGGATCACATCAGCTATTAGTTTGGTTTAGTTCTGCTAGGTGGCGCTGCAGCAGTGAATCTATTTCAGTTTTGCCAGCGCAGCTTCCAAAAGTGAGGTGGCGTAGTGAGTAGCGGCGTGGCGCCCGATCGAGAAGTCGCGGGTTTGAACCCCGAGCGGCGCAACTGACGTTATTTCTTTTCATTGTTTCAAAATATTTGCATATTTAATTAAATGAGTTTTTTTCTACTTAATTTATATTTTTAAGTACACCGAATTTGAAATTTTAACCATACTAAATGTGCGTTTTTATTAGTTTGAGTATTCTAGCAGATTCTTAGAATCACATCAGCAGTTAGTTTGGTTTAGTTTTGCTAGATGGCGCTGCAGCAGTCAGTTTTGCCAGCGGAACATTGAAAAGTGTGGTGGTGTGTGAGTAGGTCCGTGACGCTCGACGAGAAGTCTCGAGTTCGAATCCCGAGCGCGCAACTGATGCTAATTTTTGTAATTGTTTCAAAATATTTTGATATTTTATTAAATGAGTTTTGTATTTCATTTATATTTTTAAGTACATCGAAATTGAAATGTTAGCCATACTAAATGGGCATTTTTATTAGTTTGGTTCAGGGTAGTTTCTAGTCGAGCACTCTCGACTAGAGTTTTCTTACTTGTTATAATTGACCTTCCTAGCTCTATTTAACATTCAACGATATTTATGTATGCAGCTTCCGTAACCGTAGTGCATTTCAACATTGGTGTGTGGCTAAGCAGACTATACAATTAATAAAACTTCCTTACAACGTTTCGTAGATCTTGGCCTCTTTGACTGTAAACTTTATTTTAATCTTTATATTTCTACCATCATTAATGAAGCCGAATGTGTTTTTGGCTTTATTAAACGATGGTTAAAGGAATTTAAAGATCCCTTTATTACCAAAGTTATTTATTTCGCTAATACGTTATACATCGTAATATTGTTCAAATTGTATAAATTGTATCAGAATCGTATTGAATCGGTCAGAAACAGTGTTTTCTCATTGTCCTGACGAATTTAAACTGGGACGGAAATTTATATTTACCATTTTATCATATCATATTGATCTTCCATCGTTAACCAATCATAGAATAATTCTAGAGTTAGCTCTCCTACATAATTTGTGTATTGGTAATATTATTTCCTCCCTCTGTTAAAGCGACTTAATTTTTCTTTTCTTGTTATGTTATATGCGTTACCTATTATAAATTTGACCATGTATTTTCCTTAGAGCTCTCTCTTCCGTTCCTTGCTTTCAGCTGATTTTAGAGAGATCCCTCGCAATACCCTTTATGTGGTGATCTAATTCTCATAGGTCACAGTCCTATCTAATTTTTTTTATTTTTGCTCGTTTTTCTCTCATTACCACAGTATTTTCCTTTTTCTTGGTAATTTACTTGTTTTTTAGTTTGACTTTACTTTTTGTCAATATATCTTTAAATGAATAAATAAATATTTATTTAGAATTCACTTTACGATTTTTGGTACTTGATTTCCCCAATCAGCACATCGATTTTTCTTTATTTACCTTAAAGTCCTCCGAAAACGATTTATGGTCTTTGTCTTTATGTGCACCATCAATCTCGGATTTATTTAAGGTATGCATAAACTTTACGGTATTTCCATCAAGAATGCGAGCTGAAAAGAAAATAATATTTTATTAAAATATTCGTGGTGTGAATGTAAATTTAAGCATAAACAATTCAGAGTGCTATGATCAATACTGCTCGACTATGGGATTACTTGAACCCGAAGAACTGATACTCCAATGACTCTTCGCTGCTTAATATATATACATACATAACAACACATGCACACAAACACTCTCACGGACTGCGCTTGGGCTACTGGTCGTTTGCTATGTTGTTGTATAACGTTTGTTTTAAAACGTAATTTTAATTCATATGTGTACACTTTTAAAAATTCGTTTCTTGTCAATTAGAATGAAGTGGAGTGGTAAGCAAAAGCTAGAAAGAAACCAGTATGCAGTATGGGTGCTCTAGTCGAGACTGCTCGACTAGGAGATACCCAGAACCTTCCAAGCTGATATTCTAATCATTCTGCACTTCTTGTATGCGCACATACATACACATGCATCCACACGTACAGTGTACCAATAATTTCTTCGTACAGCAATGAGTTTTTTCTTTGGCAACGAATAAGTGATGCAAAATGGGCAAAAATTAAAAATTTTAATTTACAGATTTATTAACTAATATTTTAACAACAAATTAGAAAAAAGACAATTTCAATATTTTGCTTAGGATAAAAGTTATAGCTAAAACCATACAAAAAACGCATTTTTGCCTCAAATAAAGTCTTCGTACAGCGTACTTTCCTAGAACTTTAGCTGCAGACAAAAAACGAAAATGATAACGTTTTTTTTTGTTGCGAATTTTTGCTTATGTGTTTTACGCATAGTTGAGAAATAAATTCGAAAAAACATGTATGCACATATAGTCGGCGGGTGGACAAAAACTGATTAAAAATGCCAGGAAAATATTTAACAATTGAAGTACGCCATATTATTTTAAATATGCATGTTAAGCAACAAAAATCCTATGCAGAATTTGCGGAAATAATTGATGGAGTGATGAACCACCTTAAATACATTGACATTTTAAAAAAGAATTTGGCTCCAAGTGTAGAAATGTTAGGTTTATCAGGGTCTTATTATTTTCAACATGACAATGATCCTAAACATATGGCACATAACTCCTCATTTATTAAAGACACCACCACAGAGTCCTGATCTTAATCCGAGCACTGCTGGAATGTGTTAGAGTAAAGGGTCAGAATACACCACATTAGTTCAAAATCCAAACTTATAGAAGTACTAAAAGAGGAGTGTGTGAAAATTGACAAAAAATACACAGAAAAATTAGTTTTGTCGATGCCAAAAAGACTAGAAGCAGTCATAAAGAATAAGGGCTACCCCACAAAATACTAATGTTAATGATAATGTTTCGATGTATTTAAAAATATAAATGAAATACAAAAATCACTTAATAAAATATAAAAATATTTTGAAACAATTAAAAAAATTAACATCAGGGTATAATGGTTTTGTTGAAATGTATGTAACAGGCAGTATAAGAAGTACGGTACGGTTTTTGTATGGTTTTTAGTTATAACTTTTATGCTAAGCAAAATATTGAAATTATTTTTTTTTTCTAATTTGTTGTTAAAATATTAGTTAATAAATCTGTAAATTAAAATTTTTAATTTTTGCCCATTTTGCATCACTTATTCGTTGCCAAAGAAAAAACTCATTGCTGTACGAGGACATTATTGGTACACTGTACGTATAAACACGAATTTTGTATACGGTAGATGCGGGTAATAAAAAAAAGGTCTTGGTAAATGAAAACACGACTAGTAGTGTTCAATGGCGAGAATCGACTGCTCTTTCTTTATTTTAATTCTTTAATTGAAACTTATAAAGTGGGTTTACATAATTGCTGATTAAACTTATTCAATACCTATGTGTCTTATATATACATTGGTTGACATGTGTATTAATATGGAGACGTTGCATTTCCTGTTATAACTTTAAGTTTTAACATTTCTTTGAATTTGAAAGTTCACTGACTAAATTAATTGGGATGATCTTCAGTAGTTGGCATGTGTCTTAATTTGGAAACGTTGCATTTCCTGTTATGACTTTAAGCATTAGCATTAGCATTTCTTTGAATTTGAAAGTTCACTGACTACAAATTTATTTAATTGGGTTTTAGAAATGCAACTGTTGCAATTATTTGGAATTTAAAGAGTTCAATAACTAGTGTACTTGGTTGCTAATTCGGTTTATGTATAATGGAGTAGCGTTATACATAACTCACGCGCACGGCTAACTGAACAATGAGCAGCGACTGCGCTTGGGCTTGCATTGGATAATATAAAAATTTATTAGTAGACGGACTCTTAATGAAACTTTCAGAGCGTGATCATATGGTTAAAATGTGTGTACATTCCAAAACACAAGTCTTTAGTATATACACAGCAAAAACAAAATCAATTTCTTAATTAATCACGATAAAAAGTTATCGGATGAGTTATCGAAAAAATATAATATATAAAAAAAACAAGAAAGAAAGCTCTAGTCGAGATTGCTCGACTACGAGATCCCCTGAACCCTTCGAGCAACTGATATTACAATAATTATTCGCACGTGCTCACACACACGCGCACACACAGCCATACGCACGAAAACTTAATTGTTTAATAACTTTTCAGATTATGAATATAACATAGATATGCATGTATTTGCCAAAGCACAATTCTCTAGTATTAGAAATACGTCTTGTACAAAGGTGTGGATGAGGGGCTGCATTCAAGTCTCTAGCTCTTATACCTTCTGAGATCGACGCTTTCAAACATACGGACAGACGGACAGAGCTAAATCGACTCAGCTGATCAAGAATATATATACTCTATGGGGTCTGACACGCCTCATTCTGCCTATTACATACATTTAACAAAACCATTATACCCTGATTTCCCATTTTCAATGGGTTCAGGGTATAAACAGGCGTTGATGCGACAGTATGAAATCGTATGAGCATGTTTAGCTTAAAATTGATTTCAAGAACAAGTACGAAAGCTGTAATCGAGACTTCTCGACTACGAAATCCCCTGAACCCTTCGAAGAATTGATATTTCACAATAATTCTTAGAGTCTTTCTGCTAACACAAGAAACACACACACTCACACACAGAACAAGTAAGAACGTTGCAGTCGGGCGTTACCGACTGCGGAATACTCATTCACATCCCATCAACCAGTTTGATTTTTCACAATAATACTACGCGTCTTTCTACGTACACAAGAAACACACACACACACAGAAAAACATTGGGATGCAAGCATAAACACGCATTGGCTGCAGTGTGGCCATGCTATGGAAGCTTAATTGCTTAATAACTCGATATTCGCGTGATATACACGGACCTAAGAAAAAAATTCAAGTCTCTAGCTTTTATATCTTCTGATATCAACGCGTTCATACATACGGAAAGACGGACAGACGGACAAGGCTAAATTGACCCCCGTCGCCCTGATCAAGAGTATCTATACTTTGTGGGGTCTGGCATGCCTCCTTCTGCCTGTTACATACTTTTAATAAAATCATTATACCCCAATTTTCCGTTGAAAAAGGGTTCAGGGTATAAAAATGAAAAAATTGAAATAACACCTCTTCTGAGAGCTCACAGTATTTTAATCTAATCTATTTTAATAAAAACATGGGAAAATTACTTTTTTTTTATTAACTAATATAATTCTGTCGTTCTAAATCGCTTATATTAGCTAAGATTTAACGCCAATAGCATAAATAAATTAAAAATTGTTACATACCCGCATCATTTTGCATAAAGAATGTATTAACCCAAAAACTGCAAATCATCTTTCTTGATGACTTTTGAGTAAGTTCGACTTTGATATCACCAGAAACCATCAAAGGCGAACTAGTTAAGTCCAATATTGAAGTTTTTTGGAAATCAATTGGCCATGTTTTCAGTTCCTGAATTAAAGGAAAATATGATTTAGTTATGTTGCATAGCTTGTCTTTAGTTTGTATTTGAAATTTATGTTGCATTATGTGTGATATTTATTAAGATAATTTGACAAATCAAGCCGACTTTCCAATGCCCTGTTCAACGATAATAACAATTTATAATTGCTAGTTAGACTGCAACTAATAATTTAAAATTTTGAGCTACAGATATGTCAAGTCGCTCTATCTTAAATATTTCAAAATACATATATTGCCAAAAAAAAGTATATTTATTAGATTACTATATATACTTAATAAATATTATAATTATTATTATTTATAAGGGCAAAAAAATTAATCGATAAGTCGTTTTAAAGTGTTACATTTTTTATAATTGTCAAGAAACCCTCAAAAACTCTTTCACAGCAATCAATATATAAATAATTGAAATCAATGTATTAAAATTTCTATGTTCTATAACCACTAACCATAGAACACATAGACCACATTTTTCTTCGAGCGTTAGCACACCAGACAACTTCGTATTCGCTCGGCTCCTCACTTTTAGGTTCGGGTTAAGAAAATATACAAAGCACAATCATTTCGCTTCATGCGCTCGACCGAGATGGTGGCTATTCGATTTGCCACTCACCTACTGGGCTTATGCACCTCATTCTTGCCCAGTTCTTAGAACGGTAACGGTACCCTACCTGAAAAATTTGAATGCTTACCCTCAAAAAATGTGAAAATTACATTTTTCTATATGCCACGCCCAAAAGAGGCGTAAAAATTATTTTTGGGTTATCGATAGAGGAGTTTACTGGTATCTTAACTATCTAAATTTGAAGCTTCTAGCTATTATAGCTATTATTGCGGTTTGCCACGCCTCCTGTGGGCGGACATATATCCGACAAAACTTTTTGGTCTTGGGTGATCAGCCCAAGTATATATACAAAATTTGAGGTCTCTGGCATCAATAGAGTCCAAAATATAGCAGAATTTAAAAAATCACTATATCTTCAGGTCCGATTTTCCACGCTCCTAATGGGCGTAGACTTATAATTTTGTCTTTGTCTGACGTGCAAAATTTCAGCGCTCTAGCTGTAAAACTCTTGGAGATACAGTTTGATCCGATTTGCCACGCCCCCAATGGGTGGAGATATATCCGCCATAGCTGGTGATCTTGGGTGGTCGATGCGCATCTACATTCAAAATTTCAGCTTTCTAGCTCTTCAACTAATATGATTTCTGGCATATCGGAAAATGCATTTTCGATTTGCAACGCTCCTAGTGAATGAGTATAAACATCTGAGCTGCGATGTTCAGGACATTCGGAAGACAGCTATGAGGGACCTTCTGTTGCAACTAAGTAGGAAGCCGGAGCATAGTGCCGAAGCACTGCACGAAGCTGTAGACAATTCCTTGGCCGACCGAGCAGTAGTTACACATTCACCGAATCGGCTCAGATTGAGATCCGTGATCTAGATGAGTTACCTAGCAAGGAGGAGGTCTTGGAGGCAATCAGGGTCGAGTTGAAGGATAGCTCACTCCCCATTGAGGCCATCAAATCACTTCGGCCTGCGTTTGGTGGACAGCAAAGAGATACGGTTACTCTTCCAGTTGGGAAAGCCAGAACTCTGCTCGAGCTGTCCAAAATTAGAATAGGATGAGTTGTATGCCGTATCAGAGCCGTGGACCAGCCTAAACGGCAGCCAACTGCAGCAGCGACTGTGGCATAAAGGGTGCCTGTTTCAGAGCATGCCTGTTCAAAAGCATGCACCAAGCCCCCAAAATGTAGCCTATGCGTCCACAAAGGTGAAAAGCAGACGGATCACTCAGCAGGCAGCTTTAAGTGTCCATCCTACCGTGAAGCTGCGCGTAAAATTAAATGTTAAGGTTCCTCCAGCTTAACTTAAATCTTTGTGTTGCTGCTCAAGATCGAGACTGCTCGACTAGGAGATACCCTGAACCCTCGAAGCTGATACTCTAATCATTCTGCACTTCTTCTATGTACACATACATACACATGCACTTATAAGCACGCGCTCTGCTAACTGCGCAGTAAGCAGCGGCTGCGCTTGGGCTGCGCTGCAATGTGGGCCATATTATGAGAATTTGTTTGTTAAATAATTTCTCTCGTAGACATACAATCTTAATGAAACTTTCAGAGCGTAATCATATGGTTAAAATATGTACATTCCAAAGCACAAGTCTCCAGTACTTGAAATGCGTTTTTTACAAATTGGGGGCAAAGGGGGCATGGTATCCAAAATCTGTAAATTATAAAATCTTTGTGTCCATTACCTCTATATACAACGCAAATTTGAAGTCTCCAGGTTTAAAACAGTTCAAATTAGGCTGAAAAACCAATGTCGATTTTTCGATTATTCTCGATAAAAAAGTTATCGGATGAGTTATCGAAAAAATAAGATAAACTTGTACTGCCTATGGTATACACGAGTATGCATGCCAAATTTCAGCTCTCTAGCTCTTATATCTTCTAAGATCCTTTTGCTCATACGGACGGACGGACAGACGGACAGGGCTATATCGACTCAGCTCGTCGTCCTGATCAAGAATATATATAATTTATGGGGTCTGCGATGATTCCTTCTGCCTGTTACATACTTTTCACAAAGCCATTATACCCTGATTTCCCATTTTCAATGGGTTCAGGGTACAAAAATGTATAGACGTAGCCTTTCTCAGTGAGCCTCAGGACCGCCTGCCATAGAATATAGTCAACAGACGCTAATGGCAAAGCTGTGCTGTCGGTATGCCGCAACTCAACGAATACACTTTCGAATGTTAAGTCATTCAATAGGTTCGTACGTGGCCGATATGGTAACTTATGGCTCTACAGTTGCTACCTAGCCCCCAGCATGCAGCTCGGCTCACAACAGTGCTTGACGAGCAGGAGATTTTAACTCTTGGCGTTAAAATGGGGTAGCTATACAACAAATACCAGAGGCCATATCCTACTGGAGATCTTCGCGACACTGGATATTGCACTGCTCAACACTGGCCACGAGTTCACTTTCAGTCGGGCTGGATACGGATCAGTAGTTGACATTACTTTTGTCACTTTATCAATCATTGCGATAGCTATACGGGCAACAATAATTCGGCACTTCTGTTCACAATAGGTGAACCACCTGCTAGGGCGCCAGCCTTGCGTAGGGAATCATATTGGCTGGATACTTTTCATCCCACGGCCTTTTCAGTGGCCATTCAGTCGCTGGGAACAGTTGGTAATGCTGAGGCCAGAGCATGTCAAATGGTAGCTCAAATACAGAATGCCTGCAATGGCAGCATGTTACGCCGTGGTGGAATGCACAAATAGGTGGCATTCCATGCAAATGCATTCAGGCGAGAAGAAGCTACCAACGAGCACGTGGTAGGTTTACGTTCTTCGAAAAACAATTAACTTACCAGGCAGCTAGAAGACAGCTGAAGAAGGCCATTCGGGCAAACAAAAGAGAATGTTTTTTACAGTTGTGCGACTCAGGCGAATATGACCCTTGGGGCAGGGCATATAAGATAGTAGTTAAAAGACTATACGCAGGTAAACAGGTGCAGCCTACGGATCGTCTGGAGCTTAAATCGATTGTGGAAACGCTCTTCCCAGAAAGATTAAGCTCCATTTATGCCCCTGAGTCCGAGTCTGCTGATCAGGGCTCAACGAGCACACAAATTGTTTTAGTTATAGACGAAGAAATCTTAGTAGCTCTCAGAGGTCTTAGAACTAATACAGCTCCAGGGCCGGACGGGATCCCAAGTCGTGCGCTAAAGCTAGCCCTCGCCTTGCACCGAACTGTTCAATGCATTTTTAATTCAGGAAACGTTCCCTGCAACCTGGAAAGTCCAGAACTTGGTATTGGTACCCAAGACTGGCAAACCACCAGAGGAGCCATCTTCATACAGACCGATCTGTCCCTTAGACACCATGGGAAAGGTGTTTGCCGGAGGCCTGTCACCAAATCAATTTGGTTTCCGGAAGGCCCGGTCAATAACAGACGCGCTATATAAAGTTGTTGGTCTGGCTACTTCCGCCATTCAGGGCACAAGCTGGAAGCATGGGACGAAGCAATACTGTATTATTGTGACTCTCGACGTTCAAAATACCTTCAACACAGCTACTTGGGATATGATAATGGATGCAGTGGATGGCACAATATAATATCCCTAAATATCTAAAATAGACAATAATGAGATACTTCAGAGAAAGAACACTGGTATACAACACGAGTGAGGGTCCCCAAACTCATACAGTGTCAGCTGGAGTACCCCATGGTTCAGTGCTAGGGCCTCTCCTATGGAATGTCATGTACGACGGCATACTTTGCTTGAAACTATCAGCAGGTGCACACACCATTGGCTTTGCTGATGATGTAGCTGTCGTCGCCATAGGAAAGGAGCTTAAAGATACAGAAGATGTGTGCAGCGAAAGTATCAATCGCATACGGAGCTGGTTGACAGGAGCTGGGCTCGAGCTAGCGGCACACAAAACCGAAGTCGTCCCAGTCAGCAGTCGCAAAAGAGTGGAAACTGCCAATATAAAGATCGGCAGCGTCACCATTGCGTAAAAAAAGGCGATAAAATAACTTGGTGTCATGATGGACACAAGATTAACTTTCCGCGAACACTTAGAATATGTGCATAAAAAGGCAGCAGATTCTTTTATAGGTCTCTCAAGATTTATGCTTAACACGCGGGGACCAAAACAGCAACGACGGCTTCTTCTAATGAGCGTCATTAGGTCTGTCATCCTCTATGCAGCGCCAATATGGTCAAGAGAGATGGCAACGCCGAGCTACAACCGGGGCATTTGCGCGACCTACAGACTTAGCGCAATCAGAGTCAGCTGCACTTTCACGACTGTCCCCGATGACGAGGCACTCGTCATAGCCGGCATGGTGTCACTGGAGGATTTGGTCGCCGAAGCCGTGGAGCGGAATTCACACGCGCCTGCGCGACGTAACGCTATCAGGGCGAACAGCATTGCACGATGGCAAAGAAGGTGGAATAGCTCAACTAAAGGGCGATGGACACACACGCTCATCCCATCTTTCACAGATTCTTTCGGGACATGGTTGCTTTAGGAGCTATTTGAAGCGCTTTGGTCACGACGAAACTGACGAATGCCCCAAGTGCGGATGAGGGCATGTGGAAGACACCAAACATATTTTATTCTAATGTGGACGGTTCCTGGAGGACAGGCTTCGTCTAAAAAAAGCAGCGGGCCGTACCATAAGAGCGGACAATATAGTATATATTATATATAGTATATATATATATATATATATATATATATATATATATATATATATATATATATATATATATATATGTATATATATATATAGTATATAGAACTATTAAGCACCTTCGCGGCCACAGTCATGACGGAGCTCCATAGGGTCGAGCCAATAAGAATACGAGCTGTCCCAGACTAAGGTAGCGCATAGTGCTTGCGAAGCAATGCTTTACGGATGCGCAAGCATCGTGCGCTATCCTAGTCACCACGCATCTTGTAAAATATAAATAATATATAAATTTGTTAATAACGGAATACAAAAAAAAAAAAAAAAAAAAAACAACAAGTAAGAAAGCTCTAGTCGAGACTGCTCGACTACGAGATCCCCTGAACCCTTCGAGCAATAGCTATTTTGATTATTTTTCGCGTCTTTCTGCTTACACAAGAACTACACACGCACACACACACACGCATATACACACACACACAAGCAGCCTCACTTAAACACGCATGGGCTGCAGTGTGCGCTTACAATGAGAACTTCATTGTTCAATAACTTTTCTTGTAGATGTACTTTCTTCATGAAACTTTCATTATAACATGGATATGCATGCATTTGCCAAAGCACAAGTCTCTAGTATTTGAAATACGCCTTTTACAAATTTGTGGGCGAGGGGGTAGATATAGGGGAGGGGGGAGATTTTAACATAAACCGAAATTTTATAAAATGCATATCAATATACATTTAAAATTTGGAGACTGTAGCTCTAAAATTGTAGGAGATATATTTTATAACTGATTTTCGATAAGGTTTTTTATCGATAAAAAAGATCGGGATGAGTTATCGATTTTTAATGATAGCTCGATATCCGCGCTGTAAATACGGACATTTAAAAAATTTGAAGTCTCTAGCTCTTATATCTTTTGAAATCGACGCGTTCATACATACGGACAGACAGACGGACAGGGCCAAATCGACTCAGCTCGTCACCTTGATCAAGAATATATATACTTTATGGGGTCTGCCACGTCTCCTTCTGCCTTACATTTCAACAAAACCATTATACCCTGATTTCCCATTGAAAATGGGTTCAGGGTATAAAAATTTCAAAGTCTTAGCTCTTATATCTTCTGAGCAATTTTTGTTGAGCAAAAAAAGCTGTTTTTAGTGGGAAGATACTTGAAAAAAAGCCAAAAAAAAAAATCGGAAAAAAAGCTGATGTTTTTTGCTTTTATTTGATTAATATTTAAATATATTTTTAACAACTGACGCTTGAAATTGAGTTAAGCATCACAGTATTGATCTGACGAAAAATTTTACCCATTGGCATTGGCAAAGAAAGCAATGGAAAAGGGGCCAAGTTCTCAAATTTCTTATTTCCTATCGAACCCTTAGAAATACGCATCTCAACCCATAACTTTGTAGCGTAGTTTCCTACTGAATTGGGTGAATGTTCTTATATTGGTGTTCAATACTTGCAATGTTCTCCAAAAATATATATGCATAAAATGAATCAACTTTTTGCAAATTTTGAAAATTTGTCGGCAATCTTTAACACATAAATTCTTGTACTACACGCTATCAAAAGAGTTGCATACATTTTTTAATTGCTTTATAAGCTCTGTTAAAAAATCTTTTCGTTTCATTTACATAGAATGAAAAAGTTCGATATTGTTGTTCACAATAATTTGTTCTGAATTGAATAAAAATCATATCCTAGTTTAGTTAGTTCCATATTATTACCGCTTGGTTCGTCCATTGAAAATTAAATTACTGAATTATTTGGTTTTAATTCAACTACAATGAAGAAAACTTCATTCTTCATACGAATTATCCCTACAAAATACGAAAATTCGCTCAATAAATGATAAAAGCGAAAATAAAGCAAATTATTCTTTCAAAAAAGCCAGATTTGACGGGAGAACAGCTATTTTTGGAACACTACTTCTGAGATCAAACATACGGACAGAGCTAAATCGACTCAGCTCGTCGCCCTGATCAAGAATATATATACTTTATGGGATTTCCCACGCCTTCTTCTGCCTGTTACATACATTTAACAAAACCATTAGACCCTGATTTCCCATTTTCAATGGGTTCAAGGTATGAAAATCTTTCAATTTAGATTTTAAAATCTTTCAATTTAGATTTTATTAATCCGATATAGCTTGAGAGATACTTGATAAGTACAAATATCGAAACCAAAATATCGGTATTGCCGTACGGACATACTCGATCTAAAAAAAATCGATATTTTTTTCATGCAGGATCAAGTACGCACATGCTATACACAGACTGGTCGAAGCGTGTCTGCAAGACCTGTTCTATGACGACGCATTTTAAGCCTGATGTCAGAGTGGCCGCGATAAGCGATGCGATAATATCGAGCGACAATAAGCGAGAAAGCTCTACATGCTTATTTACATGTGATCGCTTAAAACATGTCAGAGTGCAAGCGAAGCGAGAAGAGAGCCAAAGCGACAATTGCGAGAAAGCATTTCTGAAATGCTTTATCGCGTAATAAAGATTTTCGTATACGTGCGTTTTCGTTGCGTGCTGAGCTTAAATAACCGTTAGTTAGTAGGTGAAATATATTCTTGGCAATTCAAGCAATATTTATCTCTTTCACTCTGACATGGCATCGCTTTGCAAATCGCTACGATAATTCTCGCTTATAGCATCGCATCGCTTATCGCGGCCACTCTGACATCAGCCTAAGACTGGAAATTCTTGAAGACTCGTTCCTAACTGGATATACAGACGATATCGCGTCATCACTGCCAAAAATACCATAGAAGCCCAAAAGAGACTTACCGGTGCATGGTCTGCACGCAGTCATGGCTTAGCCCTCGACGATTGGAAAACACAATTACTTCTGTTCACAGGGAAGCAGATTCCAACCGAAATAGAGATGCGAGTAAGCGGAAGCCTGATCCGGCAAACCGGAGAATTCACGGAACGGTTGGCAAAGACCATACGACAGCAAATCATATTCTCATGGAAGGCAAGATGGTCATGCGAAAGATATGGAAAGTGGATTTGGGAAAACTACCGAATCCTATTTTTACTGCGAAAATGAAAAGGACGACGCAGAACAGAAGAAGAAAGAACCGACTTGGCAGAAACTGCTAGTGAAGTCAAAGTACAGACAGTACAGCGAATGTGCCACAATGTAAAACTTCGCTTAAAAGGTTCTGCGGCGGATGAAGTATGACCTGAACGCAGGCAGAGCGAAACGCTCATTTAAAAGACACTGCGCGGCTCCACCTTGAAGGTCATTGTGCGATAACTCATTGGTTCCAAGATGGATTCGAGCCCTAGAAGAGGAATGTTCGCACATTGCGTAAAAAATCCACAAGGCATCTTAATATCCACTTCTTATAACAAATTGTTATTTGTTGGCTAACACTGCTTTTTGATCTTAATCTTAATATCCAGAGACCTCAAAAAATCTCTAACCCTTAGAGGTTCTGAGACCGGCACGTTCAGTCAGCGCGTCGCCCTAGTCATTATACTCTGATTTACCATTTTCACTGTGTTCAGGGTACACAAAATATTAAATATAGCTGATAAATAAATCAACATACTTACATGCGCCTTAAGTTTCTCTGATGCAGACTCTTGCCTGTCGGAAATTGAACATTGCACTGTACCAAGATTATGCAGGTAATTTGCCTCAGCAAATCGGATTTCAGAAATCTACAAAAGTACTGTTTAAAGGGCTGACAGTTAGATAGTATATGTGTTACTTACGTAAAGACTGACTACTTCATAATGTATATCTGGGATTAAATTTGAATAATACTGAACATATCTACGTTGAGATGGAATTGTAACACCTTTCCGATCTATTGTACGTTTTTCATCATAAAAAGCCAAAGCTTCATCTGCTGTATTCAAGAACTTACTATGAACCAAGTATGCACATATCATAGTACCTGTTGATTAAACATATTTTAAAATTATAAAACGATAATGTAATGTAGGCTGGCAAAACTTACAAATCGAAATAATAATGTTATTTTATTTAAAAAATTGCGATTACACACTTCATAGTTATTTTCAAAATTCATAAAACCAAAATATTTCTTACTGTTCGTAAGAATATTAGTTTTAGACCAATACATTTTTATATACGCTCAATATTAAACGCTTCTTAAAATAAGTAAGAAAGCTCTAGTCGAGAGTGCTCGACTAGATACTACCATGAACCAAGCTATGAAAAAAAAAAAAACATTTAGTACGGTTCAAAATTTCTATTTCGATATATAAATGAAATAAAAAAACTCATTTAATTACACAGTGCAATATATTTATATTTACGTACATATGTATGGCAAAAACTAATGACATGAGGCACTTTTACTAGTTGCAATTGGGAAAATTAAATATTTTGAAATAATAAACATAAATTGCGCGCTCGGAGTCAAACGCGAGACTCGATCGAGCGTCGCGCTGCTAGTCACAACACCACTTCACTTCTTAAGAGTGTGATGGTAAAACTGAAATAGATTCACTGCTGCAGCGCCATCTAGCAAGTCTAAACTAAACTACTGCTGATGTGATTTTAAGAATGTGCACACGTATAGGAAAACTGTTGTAGATGCTGCACGTCCCTTTGTTAATTGGTCAAACATTTTGTTATTTTTTAACGTCGATAGACAATGGAACTTAATGAAATTGTCAGCTTATGATCTACATATTCTAAAAGACATTTGACAAATTAAAAAAAAAAAACCAACAAACAAACAAATAGTTCACAGCTATCTACACTGGCATCTGACTTGATTCTTACTGTTTTTCATCTATAACAACATAATGGGATGATTTATCAATTTTAAAGGTAATCTCGGCATCCGCGCTATAAATACGGTCATTTAAAAAAAATGCAAGTCTCTATCGACGCGTTCAAACATACGGACAGACAGACGAACAGGGCCAAATCGACTCAGCCCGTCGCCCCGATGAAGAATATATATACCTTATGGGGTCTGCCACGCCTCATTCTGCCTGTTGCATACTTTTAACAAAACCATTATACCTGCAGTTAATATGCTGACGTGCGTTTAGCTATTAATTAGTTATTTCTTACCGGTTCTTCCCTTTCCAGCTTTACAATGCACAGCTACGACATTTAACGGATCTCTATTAAGCCAGGATTCAACGTCTTGGCAAAAACGTTGCATCAGTACAATAGGAGGAGGATTGTGATCCTCAAACGGGTATGTTGCAACATTCTGTAAATAAATATATTTGAATGTAGCTTGAATATATTGAATTTCGTATATTCTACCCCATGAAATTTATTAATGTCATAACTCCGTTCTTGACACAGATTGTATATTCTGTAATGCCCTCCATGATTTTCTTCCATAAATTTATAAACATCCTCTAGGCGATTTCTGTAAATGCCTTCAATAATGTCCGGAGCAGGATATCCCATCGCAATTATTTTCGGGCAAATGTCTAAAATATATTTTAAAAAAAAATTGTCTGAGATTTATATTCTTAATAACAACTTCACAGTTTCGCTTAACTCCCAAACGTAAATAGATTTGAAATATTTTAATTTATATTAACTTTGTGTTTTAAAAAAAGATCGCTGAAATATACAAATATTAAATTAGGCCGAGATAATGGAAATTATATAATATAGCTTTCATATAAATCTATTATAAAGCTTAAAATGTAAGTAAATATGCATTTAGAGTAATTACATGAAAGATCCAAATTAAATCCTTTTTCCTTGTATCGTATGCGTTTTTTGCTCACAACATTTCGTAACGCATTAGACATTATGGATATTGTGTTTGCCATATTAGTCTCCAAATATGATATTGTCTTTTAAAAATTATAATTTTAATATTATTATATCTATTTGTTTTGATTTCTTTTTCATTATTTATTTTTCTCTTCATATCAATAATTTTATGACAAGCGTTATTGTATGAACCATTTTTAGTGAAAACATGCAGTACCTGAAAAAGAGGATTGAAAAAGAGTTAGTTTAACTTTCAAATGTTCAGATAAATAAAATTAATTTATTCCTTATAAGCAAGACTGCTTCAGTAAAATTTTTGATTATATCGTAAACTTTTTTCCCCATTATGTACATGACTACTGATTTAGATAAAGCAGAATATGAATTGAAAAATTTAATAATTAATTTTAACTTATTTTGAGCTTTTGATATGAGGATGAACTTAAAACTACTGGTTCCTATATTATATATCAGGTACTGTAGGCGTATACATACATCCGTTAGCCGAGCAGTCTGTACTATAAGAGTAAGAGTTAAACGTTAAAACAATTTTAAAATTTTGTTTAAGTATTTGGTGCAACAATTTCTTAGTAATTGTTATACATGTATAAGTACAATCAAATGGATTTCAATCATCTTTAAAAAATTTACAAGACTCAAAATGTATAAACATATAGGAGGTAGAGTCTCTAATCATCTATATAAATATATATCTCTAATCTAGAGATTCTACCTCCTATATATATGCATATATAATATATATAGGAGGTAGAAATAAATTTTAAAAGGGTTAGAGTAAGTACATTTGCATACATTTCTTGCACACTAATATCCGAATTATAACTTAACATGTACATATTTTAATGGTCCAAATATATATAGAACCTCAGTTGAATAGTCATCAGTTGAAGTTGAATAAATTATAAATTATTTTACATTTTATGTTTACTTACATTGAGCTACTATAATCCATACTTATGTCTACGCTCATATACAAACTAGAATGGCTCATTTAATTTAATTTTCAACAATTAATTATAAACAACCTGTAATGTAAATAAATAATATACATTAACATGATAATAAACACCGCATACAGTGCATACACAGGCATATGTATTCATGTATATCGTCTGCCAAAGTACATAACACAATATGTGTTGTGCATAAATATACATATATGTACATGGGTAAATCTAAACGCGCACACATATGCAAAAACATACATATGCATACATCCTCACTAGAAGTTCGAACTTAACATTAAGTTTGTACACATATACATAAGTCTCAGCATCGAATATCAACAAATACTTAATACACAAAACAGGACCTTTTCCAAAACTCCAATACGTGCATATAAACATATATTATATATGTATATACAAATGTATATACATACATGCAACACGCTCCAACTTCTTTATGTCTCTTTTTCTAAGTGTTACACTGATTCAATTTTTGACTATTTTCATTACGATTATTTGTTTTGGAAATGTCATTTTCGTTATAAAAAATTAATTTAACTTATGATCGCCCATACATACATTCACATATCACCAATTAATCACAAATAGAGTAATTGAAATAACTAGCTTACGATCATAAAGTATATTAAAAACTGGAGGAATAGCCCATGCACTTGTAGTTAAATTCTCGAGTTATCTGTCAATAATGTCTAACATGAAATTCACAGGGTGAGTCAATCTGCTTACAATGTTAATTAGAGTTATATCGAAGAGTTTTGAATAAGTTCAATTGAACTAAATGATTGAAAAGCTTTTATTTACTCATTTCATAAATTGGTTGGTTATTATTTTTAACTCAAAATAAAAATTTTTAATAATAATTTAAGAGTTTTTAATAATGATTACTACATGAATTTGTTTCATTTTTCTGAATAATTTGGCAGAATCACTAAAATTACAATAAAAATTAAAATATATGTAAATATATTATACATTATAAATTATTCTAAATATGTTATCCCTATTTGTTCTATTCTAAATATGTTATCCCTATTTGTTTGTTGTCTGAAGTAATAACCAGAAAACACATAGACTAGACATGTAGAACAAATTTTTTTACAGAAAAATATATTAAGTTGGAGGTTCGAGCATTGAAAATATTGCATGACAAAGTCAGTGCGCTGCAAAATACTTGGGTAAATTATATTCTTTATGCGTCTCAACGCTTTCATACCCTTCCTAGAAATATCAATGAAAATGCTAAAATTTTGCATGAACGTAGCAAACGCTTTTAAGATTTCGGTATATCCTTACTCAAAAGGTGCGCTGCTGAGTTCGGTGATTTGAGAGACCATGGGGAGAGATAGAGAGGGAGAGAGATAAATAGCGCATAGCTGTGCTTCATATAAGAATGGACCATTTCGTTTGAGCGCTTGCAAAATGAATAGCTCACTGAGCCACTGAGCTAGCTCCTTCAATATGGCTTATTTTGGTACACTAGCTCGTTTTCGCTCACTAGCTCGTTTTGGCTCACTCGCTCATTCGGTTTGCTTCATTTTGCTTGCGATCAGTAGCGGCTCATGAGCTATCAGCAAGTGAGCCAGTGAGCCAAATGAGTAAGTTGGCTCACTTCACAAAAAAGAGCGAGTGAGCCGGTTCACCTCAATGAGCTGCTTTTACCCAAGTATATTGCAGCGCACTGACTTTGTCGTGCAATATTTTCAATGCTCGAATAGTGGTCCACCAACTTAATATACTTTTCTGTAAAAAAATTTGTTCTACATGTCTAGTCTATGTGTGCTCTGGTCAGTGGTTTTGGTTTTTTAACTTGATATCGAACATTTCTATTATAAATCGTCACTGTAACTTAGAACTTGTTATGAACATTAATAGCTAATAGTAGATGCTATGTTGACCCAACTATAAAATTGTAAAGTTAATGTTTCTAATTAGTACTTTAGATGTACTAGAGTTAAATTGTTCAAAATATTAAATTTAAGTCAAATGGAATCGCATACAGGAAAAACTTCCGAATTAAGTGGCGCTGAATTACGACGAGAAGCCCGAAGAAGAAAAATTCTGGAATCTGCCAAAGCACGATTAGAAAAATTAAATGGTGGAGTTAAATTAGTTGAAACCAATAATACGGGTATGAATTAAAAGATGTCATCAAAGGCATTTATGTAAATCAATTTTTAATTATAAATAAGTATAAGTGTATTTATTGATCTGCCGTGTGATGCACGTTATTTATTTATTTTTAATAATTCATTTACAAATACTTAAATACAAGATAAAATTCGAATGTTAAAGCTAATACTTACATATATTGCATTACAGATTGTACAGCAAGAGATTACTCAGACCCTGAAGTTGAGCCAAATGTTCCCATCGGTGTTGGATTATCTCAAGAAGAACTTGTTTTCTCCACTACGCGCTTTTCGTCCAGTAGTAACCGTGAAACTCAAAATAAATTTATTAAATGTAGGGTTCACATATTTATAGCTTCAATATTAGGTTATATCTTATCGTGCTATGTTTCAAATTCTCTTTTTATTCCCGTTTTTCTATGCATAATGATTGAGATATTTTATCTTAACAAGCAGCAACAAATTCAGAATAATATTGTCTCGATGATATTACCTATTACAGTTCTGTTTACGGGAGAATTTATAGGTAATAGAATTAAGCAGGCTAATCGGTTTATTTATATATTGCAATATCTCATTATAAATCTTGCTGTAAATATTTTCTGTATATGTATTAGTAGTTACGTATGTAAATTTCGAATATCAGATCATGTCACTGATATAAAATAAAAGTTCAATATTTATGTATTTTCTTTTAAGTCCTTAAGCAAGATGATATGTAGCTGCTGATTTGTCTTTTCAACTGTAACTTGCAAGCCTCAGGTTTATTTATAACATACATATGTACAATGGAGGACAGAAGTATTTTGACAACGCATTGCAAAAACGTAAGCCGCTTATTTCTGCGTGCTGAGAGAGCTAACGGTACCCATTATATTTTTTTGAGAGAGCAAACATACTAGGCTTTAAGTGACCAAAATATTGCATTGATGACATGACTCATTATTTTTCTATAATTATTTGCATGGCGGATTATCATTATTTGGGTGGACAAAAGTATTTTGACATTCCCTTTCAAATTCATTTTCGGTAATTCGCTTGGATTAAAAAATACATATTTTTATTTTTTAAGTTATTTTTTGTGTCTTCTTTAATAATACCCATTATTTGATCACAGTTTTCGGCAACTTATGGGCAAACAACGTGATAAAGTGAAATCATTAAAAATTAGTCGCGAACGAAGAATAAAAGGCCAATTTTTCTATACTCTTAATATCACTATAAAATAAACTAAAAAGGTATCGATTTGCTAAAACCTTCATAGGCAAGCCGCAATTCTTCTGGGGAAAAGTATTATGGATGGACGATAGCTCCTTTGAGTATCCTGGATAAAAAAAAGCGCTTTATAGCAGGTTCCCAAAGAATATTCGCAAAAAAAGATGCCTATGTACCAACGTGCTGAAGAATTGGTAATGCTCTGGGGGCTCGCATGTGTCAATAGCCTCTCCAATTTGATATTAATTAATGGAAAAATGAAGAAGGATAATTATTTACGTGTCCTGAATGACCACTCATCGAATTCCGGTTACCAGCTCATTGGAAAATCATGTATACTGCAGCAGGACAATGCTCCATGCCCCAATATTATAACTGAATTTTCTGATAATATTGAAGTCAATACATATGATTGGCCACCTCAGTGCTCTGATCTCAATATTATAGGCTTACGCAAAAGTAAAACGTAGCTTAGACTTATCAAGAACGCCCAAAGAGACGGATTACTGAGGTTTGAGGACTTTAGCAGGATTTTTCAATAGAAACATTACAAAATTTGGTAAGATCGATCCCTAGACTCTTGCAGATATTAAAGGAGGGTTTAATTCTTATTAATATTTTAGTTACTACGAGTATTACCATTGTTAAGTTTTTGTCTCACTTTATGTAATAAATATTAGTGTCAAAATACTTTTGTCCACCCAAATAATGATAATCCGCCATGCAAATAATTATAGAAAAATAATGAATCATGCCATCAATGCAATATTTTGGTCACTTAAAGCCTAGTATGTTTGCTCTCTCTAAAAAATAGCTCTCTCAGCTCTCTCAGCACGCAGAAATAAGCGGTTTAAGTTTTTGCAATGTGTTGTCAAAATACTTTTGTCCTCCATTGTATGTATGGCCTCAGCGAAGCTCTTGCTGCCTGTAGCAGTTATAAAGCCTAGAATTTGCCTTTGGTCAATGATGCCAATTTTTGTTGAGCAAAAAAAGCTGTTTTTAGTGGGATACTTTAAAAAAAAGACGAAATTTTGTGAAAAAAATCGGAAATAAACTGTTGTTTTTGCCTTGATTTGATTGATATTTAAACATATTTTTAACAACTTATGGCATCATTTCTTCAACCACCGCAAGCCGTTTCTGCGAAGTTTTATATTATATATGTTTTACATGAAGCTTGAAATTGAGTTAAGCATCACAGTATTGATCTGACGAAAAATGTTACCCACTTGGGCATTACCAAAGAAAGCAATTCAAAAGTGGCCGTTCCTAAATTTCTTATATTTCTTGGGTGGATGTTCTTATATTGGGGTTCAATTTATCAATGTTCTCCAAAAATATATATGCATGAAAAGGAATCAACATTTTTCACTATTTGAAAATTTGTCGGCAACCTTAAACACATAAATTCTTGTACTACACGCTATCAAAAGAGTTGCATATATTTTTTAATCTCGGCTTTGGCAACACTGCCTTTGGTAGATCTAGTGATCTGCTCACATATACATACATACATTGTGTGTACGCAGGGGACGCGATGCTCATACATGTATCGAGGGTTTGTAGTGTGCGTGTACACCCTCGTCGCGAAATCATTTTCTTATAAGCACCTTTTTTGTGAAAATACAAGTGCATAATTGTATACATACATACATACAGTGGGCCAAAAAATTATTGGCACAGTTGAAAAATCTAACTTCTAAGAGCTGTAACTTTTTTTGGAACATAGCTATAAATAAATGAAAAACGGTATTTGTTAAAACCATGTTTTCTAATAATATTTAACAACAACAACAAGTCAATTTCTAGTTTGGTTCACTTGCGCTGAACTAAAATATGTATATAGGCACAAATTTTCCTCCAAAAAGTAAGTAAAAGTGGCACAAAAGGCGTAATGAGTCATTTTCATCGGTAGTCAATCACCCCAATACTTTGAGGGTCCTCCTTTAGACTGAATACCCGCCTGCAAACGTCTCTTCGTGCTAATTATTGGCCCATCCAGCGCGTAGGACCTCTTTTAGAGAATCCTTTGAGGTTATTTGATGATATAGTATCTTTCTTTCTTATAGGTGCCACTCCCGCTCGATGGGATTCAAATCCGGTGATTGGGGCGGTGTTTTGAACTGCTTGCAATGGTATATGAGCCACTCCTGGACAAGATAGGACGAACGTTTTGGGTTATTGTCTTGCTGAATCTGCCAATCAGTGCCACTGAGACGCAGTTTTTGAATATCTGAACTTCAATTCTCTTTGAGAATGTCTTTATAAACATGCTTGTTCATAGTGTCATCAATAAACGCAAGGTTTCCAACTCCAGAAGCAGCAAAAACCCCCAAACCATTCCTTCTTAGGTTTCCGACAGATTTTTTGTG